TGTCCAGCCAGAACTAGAGTCCTTGGGCTCTGTCTCTGCGGGAATTTTATTGCAGGAACCTCTCTCCTTTTCTGATGGTTTTAAAGGGAACATTCAGCCACTTCTCAACTAAGTCCAATAAACTGCTGGACCTTCGTGGGGAAAGCTGACTTAATTAACCCTACAACAGTATCATTAGCTCCTATTTAAAAGCAGGAATACAAAGGCAGCAAACAACATTTGAGAAAGGCTATTTGCTGTCTCACTTCCTCATCCATCTGCAGTCAGCCTTCCCCACTGATACCGAGTCCTTCAGACCACTTCCCCTCTTTCCTCTTCACTGCAGGCTGCCCACAAGACCCTATCAGCAACTGCATGCATAGAAGTAACACTAGGAAAATTATTTAAGGCAGTGTTCAGCAGTTTCGGAGTCAGCAATCTCCCCAAGGTGCTCTCAATTTGAATTTGTGCTATAAATAAGAAAAGTCAATCAATTCCACAGGACCAGATGTTCCTGCACAGTCTACTAGTAACAGGCGTATTAAGCTTGCTTGAAAATTGTTGCTCTGTGTAACTACTGGGTTTTGTATCCTATGGCTACATGTAGCAATATATTTAAACTTACACAACTTACCCTGGATCCCAAATGCATGCCAGAATGCAGCACACAAACAAAGAAACCAAAGATACAGTATTATGCGTTTAATTTTTAGTCACAAACTTCCTTTCTAAATGCACGCTGTGGTAACTTAGCTTGAAGTACCCTCAAATGAAGCTTCCAACAACAGCTTTGTAAATAGCTATAACAAGATTTGACGATAAATTTGTCAGTCCAAGAGCTTTCAGCAGAAAATGACAATTCAGAAATATTTTACGGAAAGGTTGTCATTTCAGTGAGCTTCCTACATGACCCAGTGAGCTAAGTCCAACCGATTGCTGACCAGCCAAAATTTCCAGGGTCATGTAGTCTACTCCAGTGTGTGGCATCTTAGGACCTCCAGGTTCTTCCTGCAAAAACAGAAGATGGGCAGACCTGGAAGCTCCAGCCCTACCTGAGGCTCAGGATATGGGCTCTGAAAAGGACTGAATTGTCCTCCAAAGCCACCAGCGCTTGCAGTGTCCCCGCCATGGCAGTTGCTGCCCTGGAAGTTTCTGCTCCCAAGCTCTGAAGGCACACTCCTCATACTCCTACGTATGTCTGGTAACTCCAACAGGAAGCCAGGAGTTAAGGAGCAAGGAAGCTACGGAAATGACTGGAAATGCAGGTTTTTAAATTCTCAGACACAAAATCACTTGGAAATTCTGGGGGAAAAAAGTGCTCTGGTTATTCTGAAAACCTTTTTCAGACCTCCTACTCAAAAAGTCACAATTTTTACATTCTCCAAAGTGCAATAATCCTTGATGTCCCTTCTCCCCTCAGTGTCAGAATGACAATCAGTAAGGGAATTCCAGCTTTCAAAGAATTCTGGGTGTAACTAAAATAGGAAGCACTTTGCAGTTGCTTTGAGAAAGGCAAGAAATCTATGGTAAAGTTCAGAAACTTAGCTAGGCTTCCCAGATACCTTGTTTTTAACCAAGCAACTCATTAAAATCCACCACACTGTAACCTTGCTAATTTGGAGCTAATTTGGAGCTAATAACATGGAAACCCACAGCAAATTATTGCTGCCTGAAGATTAGCCACAAGTAAACACAATAGAAAAATAAAACCTCTGCATTCCATTCTTCCATTCATTGAAAAAGTGTAATTTAGTTTAAATTCTAAGCATATGTTTATATTTTTGTAGTACACTTCAAAATAAGAAGGAGTTTTAATACCCTGAGACTTCGTTAAACCTAACCTTTGGCAATTAAGGCATGCTGTGAAGCGAGGAGTGAGTGCTATTTGTGAAATGTATATTGGTGAAACACCAGCTAGTTAAAATCTATTGCATTTTGAAACTTTGTCAGCAATAACAATTTTATTATCTGGGCACTTAACCATCACCTTAGTGTCTAAGAGCCGTAATTTAGCTTCCTAGAAAAAAGAGAAAACATTGTAGTTGTTGGTGCTTGGAGGAAACACAAATTGGCAAACGTACCACTGTTTTGAATTCAGACACTTGCCACAGCAGCCAGTCTTCGTTAAGTGTGTACAGGGCTTTGCACGTTATCGCGTCAACAGGTCCTTTGTTTATCCTCTGATTGAGAGTTGTCACTAGCAAATAGAAAGGTTCACCAATTGTCTCCTAGGACGTGAAGCAAACACAAGGAACATGTTTATTTTTGTAATCATTAAATGGGCATGAATAACTAGGAAAAAAATCAAGTGTAACAAGTTACTTCCTTTTAACTAGCTTGTTATCTCGCAATTAGAAAAGAAAATCCCTCTCAGCGGATTTATCTAGTTATTTGTTTAACCTCCATCCTTTGCTTTTTGGTGTGAAAGTCGCATGCAAATAGCTAGGGACAGCTGGAGTGTGCGGCAAGATCGCTCACAGCCCCTTGCTGTGCACAAGCACACTGCAGACAAGCTGCTCCTACTCCACTTGGCAGATGCTTCCTAGTTCCACCGAAGAGTGGGTGGGGGGTGAGACGTGCATGTGTTCACATTCATACTTCAGCTATTTCTTTCTTTTTCAGTCTTGTGAGAAAACAAGCTAACAACTAGTTTCCTTTTGAATTGGCGTCTCCCCTTGTTGTCCCTAAGAAAAAAGCCTTGGGAGCAAGTTGGCGGGACATACACTGGTGTATCAGCGAAAGAGGGAATGAAACTGGGGCTTCCCTCTCTGCCTGAACCCCAGGCTTCAGGCAAGCACCTGAGAAAGGAAGGATGGATTTTTGTTTCCACTTGACACCATTCCTGCAGCCTGGCTAAGGCATCTCACTAGCACAGCTCTGTGAAGATGACTGGTGTATCGAGAACAGATCTCTGACAGTTCCTTGGCTCTCTCCTGGGGTTTCAGGAAACCGGTGTGAGCTGCTGAGCCTCAAACTCTGCTGCTGTATTAATGCAAGGACTGATATGGGTGATACCAACCGTGTGATACCATCACACTGGTAAGAGAAACAGGAAGCATAACCAAGCGCTGAAACCAAGAATGAAGTGCTACCAAATGGGCTAAAATAAACAAACAGTAAAATGAAAGAAAATGCTTATTTTGTTTCCACTTGAAGTCATTTAGTTCTTGAAATCTGCAGTGCTGTTTGGAGGTTAAAAAGTTTGGAAAGAAGTTTAGTTTTCCAAAAGACGGTATTCCTTAAATCTCCATTACGTGGCGGCTTTCCAACAACTTGCATAGAAAGGTACAGCTGCATTTTACCAAGTGTGTCAGTCTTTTAGTATGATCACAATACATCTCATGGAGACGAAACAATGTCTGACATGAGAAAAGGATATGCTAGAATTGCAAAATTACCCAAATCTCAGCCAAATAAATTCCATGATCATTGTTTACAGACACACTCTTTTCCTTCATCCCATTGATGGTAGCTAGTTAAGTCACCTAAACTAGAAGAACACACTTTAATAATGTTAAATGTTAGATTGAATGCTTTAAATTGATTCCTCTAACAATTCCTATGGAAGAAATCAGTTAAAAAATTCTTTGCCTATCTTACATAGTGAAAAGATGTACACATACCCGGAGAAATCCAGAAAGGCAGACAGACATCCAGTTTGTCAGCAATTTTTCTACCACAGATTCAGTTCGTCTGAGCAGGAGCTTAGGCTGTACATTGCTTGATTGCTCCATCAAGTCCTTTGTCAACACTTCCAAAATATGTGTTAGATAAACTAGCTTAGTCTGTAGTGCAATAGTCAAGAAGGATGCAAACAAGCACCTGTTAAAAAAAAAAAAAAAAGAAAAGAAAAAAGAAAAGAAAAGAAAAAAAAAGAATGCTATAATATTTCGAATTTCTCTTCCCAGTCATCTTTAATAAATGAAACACACCTCAGTGCAGTTCATATCCTAAGTTTTCCCTCCTCAGGCACAGAAACTGTCCACTGATCTCTACAAAAATATAAAAAATGCAAGTCCATCTGCTCTTGTGATTATGTTTTAAACACAGAATTTGTGTCTCTCAATTTAATTCTGCAGAACAACACCTGCTTCAGTGACAGAACATTTCTAAACTGTAGAACTGTTGATCTAACTGCAGGAAGTGTTTACAGTTTTTAAGTGAGTTTTCCTGCTCCTTTGCCTCTTTGTTTACACGTACAAACATTCTGATTTCTCTTTAATGGCTTGTTTTAATGGCAATGTTTTTTCTTCCTCAGTGTGTGCAGATGGAGAAGATGGAAAAATGCTCTGGAGTAATGCAAGCTTGTTTTGCAAGAAGTAGAAATTACATTTGTGTGCTACAATCCATGAGATTTTTCCTGCTAATTCTTTGTCTTGAAGATGATAAACATAATCATACTATACCTGTCTTTCACAGAGAAATTTTTCTGCTTTTCAAGGGTGTGAATGAGAGTAACAAGAAAGTTCTTGTTACAAATTAAAGCATGCAACATGTTGAAGCTTTCATCCTGGCTCGTTTGGTCTCTGCTCTGGAATAGTTAAACAAAAATAAGCAAACTGTAGTTTGGCTATGATGGATTCTTAATGCTCAGAAAAATGGTAAGCAACATATGGGATAAGATCCTGGCCTCATTCAAATCAGTGGAAATTTTGCATTTATTTCATGGGTCTCAGGATTTTACCAAAGATGCATTTATGTTTGTGTACAATACAGACTGCACACATGCAGAGCATACATTTTCTGTCATATACACAAAGTAATGCCAATAGTTAAGTTTGCCTGTCATTTCCCATGACTAGATTCTGTTTATTTTATTTAAATAGGTCAGAATATACATTAGGCAACAGCATCTTACATAGCAAATTCTTTTTATATATAAATCCATGTAATCCTCCACATGGGGGAAAGGGAACATATTGAAAATGCAATCTGATGTGTTCTAGGACAACACTGAGATAAGGGATACAATCACTCTTGAAAAAATACTTATTAATTAAGGCATATCACACTACATCAACTTACCTGCGGCATGTCTTCACTGAAGATGGATGCAAAGCCTCCTGACTAAAATATAAGACAGGTGATATTTATCATTCTTATGTATACCAAAAGTTTCTAACGTGTACGTTAAACACGCCAAGCATGTTCCTGATGGCATACAACTTCAAATAAAACAATGGAAATGCTGGCTTCTAATGAGGCTACAATATAAAAACGCTCCATGGTAACTTCTGCAAAGGTGCTGCCAAGGTTCACCGAAGAGTGAACTCTTAAAGATGACCTGGTATTGAGTTCAGCGTTACTGTGTGTGTTACTCAGTGCTACTCAGCCGCGCTAGCACAGCAGTCAACTACCACTCTGCAGGAAGGGCTGTTTATCACCCTCATCTGCAAATGTGCTGGTGTGCAAGGGGTGCTGCAAGCTGCATCCTTCTTGGACGGCAATGATAGCCTTTGGTACACGGGGTTTCTGTAAGAGTGACACTTGAGTTCATCTGCCTCCATTCATTTCAAGGCACTTCATGAATGTTCACTAATGAACTCTCCAGGAGGTCCATGCTGTCAGTCTCCAGAGAGGCACAGGTGCCACCACACATCCAGTCCTAGCAAAAGCTCTCACAACAAAGGGAAGTCCCCAGTTCTCAAATACCTTATCAATGCCTCTCGTCTGACTCTTACAGCCTGTAAGGTCCCAACACAGCTGCTTGTTCCCAAAGCAGCGTCCTTGAGCAACAAATTCACACTAGTAACATTTACTGTCATCTGCTTTATCTATGATACTGGCAGCCCCTAGTTTCCTTAGACAATCATAGAATCACAGAATGGTTTGGATTGGAAGGGACCTTCAGAGATCATCTAGTGCAACCCCCTGCCATGGGCAGGGACATCTTCCCTCAAAGCCCTGTCCAGCCTGACCTTGAACACTTCCAGGGATGGGGCATCCACAACTTCTCTGGGCAACCTGTTCCAGTGGCTCACCACCCTCACCGTAAAGAATTTCTTCCTTATATCCAACCTAAATCTACCCTCTTGCAGTTTAAAGCCATTGCCCGTTGTACTGTCACTACAGCCCCTGGTAAAAAGTCTCCCTCCGTCTTTCTTATAAGCCTCTTTTATGTTGAAAGGCTGCAATAAGGCCTCTCCTGAGCCTTCACTTTTCCAGGCTGAACAACCCCAACTCGCTTAGGCTGTCTTCATAGGAGACGTGTCCCAGCTCTCTGCTCGTTTTTGTGGGCCTCCGCTGGACCCACTCTAACAGGTCCACGTCTTTCTTGTGCTGGGGACCCCAGAGCTGAAAGCAGAGCTCCAGGTGGGGTCTCATGAGAGCAGAGTAGAGGGGGAGAATCATCTCCCTCGACCTGCTGGCCAGACTTCTCTGTGTGCAGCCCAGGGTACAACCGGCTTTCTGGGCTGCAAGCACACATTGCCAGCTCACATCTAATTTTTCATTTACATATCTGATTTTTCATCCCTCCCTTTCCTCATGCCTCCTGTTCTCATCTCCCCTACCATACTCTTCTTCCTCTTCCTCCAGCGGCTATTCCCATTTTTGCAGAACTTCTTCAACACCCCTAACACCACCTACCAATAAAACACACACACACAGAGTGAAACAACCAGAACCATGTTAAAGGTTAAAAATGCTTGTGAACAGGAAACAAGTGTGGTAGCATTAAACTAAAAAATGTGGGAAATTGAGGGAAAACAGAAATAATAATCCAAATTTAACAAGTAGAGCAAAAATCAGGCTGAACATAAGGAATATTTTAAGAATAGATGTAATATCCATTTAACACCTACAAGCATTAAGCACAAAACAAAAGCTATCAAGCCAGATTAAATATAGAAAAATGAAGCAGCAAGAAGTGAGAAGCTCAAAATGAAGATGGGTCCATCACTCTTAATTTTAGGTATCTGACTCCCTCTTCAAGCAACTCATCCCATCCTGAGACAGATGTCTCGGGCAAGTGGGATGAATCACTTTCTTGAGCTGCCAGTCTCTGCACTGACTACAGAAGATGCTCAGTGAACAGCTTTGCTGTCCATGTTTAAACAGCTTAGACAGATGAGACAAAACCCATCAAACACACTGGAAGGCAGAAAGCGTACAATATGGACATCATTCAAACACATGATGTTAGTGAGGGAAGTGGTGGTTTGTCACTTTGACCCTTCTGTCAACCCTTCTGACACTCAGTTTCAACCTACCACAGCCTTTTCTGTTAATCTATAATATTTGTTTAGTAGAGCACTGCTCTCCTACCACATTCATACAGCACAAGGCATGTTTGGACACTCCTGCAATGTAAACCATAAGCACTTAGCAGGAAAACTTGGTACACAATACGTTAAATAACTTGCCTGACACTGCATGTCTGGAGAGAGCTAATAGTGGCAAGTTTACCTTTGTGGTATCAGTATTTCAAACTGAGACAAAATCTAATTGGAATCATTTCCAGGATGTGCAGTGGCATGAGACTCACTAAGGAAAAAGAGGAGCCCTTCCCTTTCTGACCTCACATAATGCAAAAGAGTGGCAGACTTCATGCCTTTTTTTCTTTCCATTTCATTTGCATAAAGCAAAGCATTTCCACCCAGATAGCTTCTACAGATTGTTACTGTTTTGACAGGGGACTATCACAAGGAAAAGATACACTCCTAAAAATAAAACCACTATTTTAATGCTAATATGCCTGGCAACAAAATAAACTGAAAGGAAAGAGATGCAGAAAGAAAGGTTTCCTTCATCCACTTTCTTCAAACCTCCTAGTGACCCCATACAAATTAGACTGGGGGCATCACAGCAGTACCAGAAGAGATATTCCCAGTTTCCTTTGGTGTGAGAACCGGACTCAAAGCGTACAAAGATTATGCATATGTAATTGTTAAATATTAGTCTGCCTTAGTATCTGGTATTTGGTGTTGTACACAAAAAGGCCCTGATTCTGCACTATCACATGTGTTTAACTTAATCACAATGAGCATTTAGTGGGATCGCATATGGCAATAAAGTGAAGCAGTGTGCAGATAAGACTGCAGGACTGGGCTGCACCAGTGATGAGTAACACATGAAGACTAGTAGGTCATTTGCATACATACCAGCTATACCTTACACCACCACAGCAATAACCTAAGATTTCTACTCATTGGTGTCAGTTACCACAGCAAAATATCACCAGCTGAGATCACAGCTTGAGATCACAGCTTCTGCCAATTAGTAAATGCCGGTAAGCACTAGTTAACATCATGCCATAATTTTGAAAGCTGTGGCAAATGCACTTATCAGCTGCGTAATGTGCCACATAGGCAAAAAAATAGCAAGAGAAGTAAAACATTCAAGAGAAAACCTCTTCGGTCCTCTGATGCAGTGGCACAAACTGCTCCAAAGAACAATGAAAATATCCACCTCCAAACTGGACAGCACTTAAGTACTTATGACATTTTTAAGCATTTGACCTGCACTCCTTTAAATCAAGGTCTTACCATTTCTGTCAGCAGCTTGGAGTAGAAAGTCAGCATGACCTTAGAGCCATTTCTTCATCCCACAAGTCTAATTAGGAAGTGTCATGTTGTTAGCTAGCATGTTAGCTAGCCTGACTGCTACTTTAATTAGCTATAGCATGGAAAGTGAAAGCATGAGAACAAACAAAGAAATGGATAAATTATAGCTTTGTTAGGATGGCCTGAAAGGCAAGCAGCTTAGTGAGGCTGGGCAAAAATAGAAATGGATGCACACACAACCCTTGAAAATTCAACAACGGTGCTTTATCTACAGCATTTAGGTGTGGTTAAATATAGAGATGTACAGCCTTAAGTGTTCTTTGGTAATTCTTGATTTAAGAAAAGTTTCTTGTGAAAACAATGCACAATTAGTGTGTAGTATTTACTTTAGCTATTTGATCCTAACCTTCCTAGCTTTTTCATTATTAGGCAGGGCTGACAACTGAAAGACTTGTAAATATTTACCTCTGGAAAGAAAGTTCTAAGAGCAAAGTGTTTGTAGTCAAGGAAGGGAACGGTTCCAAAACTATCCACCACGTCTAATTCATCCATCTGCAGTTCAGCAAATCCTGAAAAAGCACCCCCCCACACACCCAGAGAGTTAGTTTAGTTGACACAAAATCATTTTCACAATTGCAACTTTGCCCCAATAGATGTTCCTTAAAAAACAGTTCTCAGTGAAGAGGGGTTGTTTTTCAAGCCAAAGCTCTTATGAGCGGGAAAGTACCAATCCATTTTTTTTCCCCACTTTTGTTAAAGGAAATACTACATGCAATCCTATTAGCTCAGTGCTATCTGCTACTGCAGTGCACGCCAACATTAAAGAGGAACTCTGATGCAACACAAAAATATTCTAACAGCTATAAAATTGAAATGTTTACATAACGTGAGCTTCTTGACAGTTTCAGTTCAGAAATTATGCTGTACTTAAGCTCTATAAAGCTCTTTAGACCTACCCTCACGTATTTCCTTCCGAATCTCATATTCCAGCAGTTCAAGTTGCTGACTCTGTTTACGAGTTAACTCTTTGGATTTGTATCTAGTAACTATGAATGCCACTAAAAAGGAAGAAAAAAAGATTCTGAGTACAGAAATTGCAGAACAGACAACCCCTACACAAGACATTTTAATATTATTTTAAGGAACAGAGGGATTAATATACACTTGCACTCTCCAGGAGGATTACTGTTTCTACTGTTGTCAGTGTGCTAGTACCATAAGCCCCAGTTATCTGGATCTAAACCCCAATGTTTAATAAAACCCGTTCCTTTTAACAAGGTCTTAGAACTGTTAATCCAACTGTATTTGAAAGTACAGCACACCCTGCTACGTGCAACCGGCACAGTGACACACAGAATCTAACAAGCACATCTACTAGTAGCCACCTACTTAAAGTAGCCCTGATTAAACAGGAAAAACAGTTGCTTTGAACAGCAAATCCACTTCCAAACTGTTAACTTCTCTAAAGCTTATTTTGAGAGAGTAAGGCACACAATATAGTTCCTGTAAAGGTAATGCACTTTTTAAAAAGAAACCCAACCAAACAAAAGAACAAACCCCTAAACTTATTACAATAAATGGACATTTATCAAATATATAACCAGGTCAAAACACTCAGAAAAAAGGAGTGACAAAAAGAGGAGGGGATAACTGTTTACCCCCCTCACTTCAGTAACGACCTACAAGTTCATGAATGATCCAAATGAGACTGGGCAGAAACGCCACAAACACTGCCTGAGGATAAGCAGTTTGTTAGGGAACGTCTGCCCCAGGGACGGGAGGGGAGCCCAGCTCTGGCAGCTGGAAAGGCCCAAGTTGTGACAGAAGGATGCCAGTCCTGTGGCTTGCCTCACTAAATAGTGGTGAGTAAACCCAGCAGAACAGCCACAACTACTGTCTTGTAACATGCCGTAGTCTGGCAAGATGGACTGCACCACCAGACCAGAGTTAACTTTGTCCACTCTTACTGGGAACAGGGGAAAACCACCAGACTGTTTGTGACGTTCCCAAACATGTATGCGTGTATGTGTTTATGCGTCATCATTATACCCTTCAGCAAAACAAAAACCGAAAACGCATTATTCTACTTACCTATAATGACGCCCACTACAATAGGTAGCAAAATAAGAACATATAAATATATGTGTGATGATGTTGGTTTGACTTCTTGCTCAAAATTTCCTAATTTGACCTGAAGAGAAATAATGGCTGCGTCAATAGAAGACAGGTATTACATCAGTACGTAAAATGACACTTAATGTATAAAAAAACCCAATATGTATTTGAGGCATATGAAGGACCCTGGTTCTGCAGATTACTGGGAAGACAGCAGCAATTCAGGAAAACATATGTGAACCAACACAAACTTAACTGTTGCTGTATTTGATGTTTAAGCAGGATAACAGAACAAGAGAAAAATTTGGAGGTACTCATGCAGCACCAAATTTTGCCATTGCTTTTGCTGCAAACTAGAGCCCTCAAATGAATGGCAAGATCTGGCCTCCAGCTGGCCAAGTGGCTCACGCACTTCAGAATCACTGCTAAACGTTCTGGCATTTTGAAGTGAGGAAGGCACGTGTTGACAGTTAAAAATATTCCTTTGCATTTACAGTATTACTCTGCTGAGCAGAAAAGATAAGACTCAGGCTAATAATGAGGGAAGTAAAATTTTTGATAGACGCCTGGCCCACAGCCGCCTTCCTATTTCTCTGCAGAAGTTTCAACCTCTTTATGTAGGATGTAGGGCGCTCCTGAAGGTCCACTTAAGAACAAATACAACATACGATACATGTACAACATTCCCCAACAGCTACTGGGCTTGTCAAAGGCAGGACAGGCATTAATTCTTAGGAATACATGGAGGTGCTGAGGTCTGCCAGATGCCAAACTGAGGCATTCACCACTGATAATTATGGGAGAAGAAATTTCACAAAGGAGGATCTCAAAGAGGACTGTGAAAGCACGTAAATAAAGGGTAGCTAAGACTATAAACAGACTAGAAGTAAAAATACACTTTGACACAGAAAAAGAATACCACCAACTGCCAGGGATAGAAATGAGCCTGAGATAATTGAAAAGGAGGGTTGGGTTGAAATTATTTTGGGTTACAGCAAGGAAGGCAGAGATCTGGTGATTTCAATCACTGGCTTGTCACAGGAGGGGAGCAGCCAGGGCAGCTGGACACTGCGAGCTGGGTAAGTCACATCGCAGCTACATGGGCATAAGCAAGCAAAGAAACCCCACAGGGCTAGAAGGACACAGCCTTCATATTTCTGGGGCTACAAAGAACAGCAGACAAAGCAGACCAATTTCCTCCATCACATATATTTTTTTCCCTCAGTTGTTCATGTGTTTTCACAGTTGCTATACAAAGTACTTTCAGTCTAAGCCTTCCTAGGATCCCATTTGCCTTTTCTAAGGCTGAAACGCATTGGTGGCTAAATACATTAATCATCCCGTGACTAATACACCTGACTTTCTCCACTTGTCATGTCCAACCAAAGCATTCCTAAAGCAGAAATTCCTGTTACTCATCCCTGCTTATTGAAAACTGAGGCAAAGCATTCGTTTAATTTTCCATTCATACTTAGATTATCTTTAATCTTCACCATAACCTTCCTACTCAGTGGCCCCATTTCTTTCCTTATCTTTTATTTATCTTGCTTATGAATCACGGACTGAATAAGGGACACCTGAATTCATTTGATTCCTATTCCTAAATTCATTTCATTCTTCCTACATGATATTATAAAGCCTCCTCTAGACTGGTAATGCCTATGAGCTTTATATCATCAGCAAATGTTATTAGTGCTTGCCTTATTTTTGTGCTCAAGTCACTAGTGATATTAAATAACATCTGTATAAAAATCAACATTGCCCGGAGTCAGCTCCCTGTACATAGCATCCAGTTTTTCTAATCCCTAGCGTCTTCATAATCACCATGTTGTTTACTGAATGACTTCCAGGTATATGTGATCTACTGCTTTTTTGCTGTTGAGGAAATCACTCATCTTACCAAATAAAGTTATCTAGCATAATCTGCTTTTATTAAAAAGAAGTTGACAATTATCCCATTTTCCATTTACCTCCAGGTCTTTCATGAGTCCCTCATTCAAAATACATTATAAAGCTTTACACAGAGCTAGGATTAAATCAGCAAGCCTCTATTTTACCTAGGGTTTTTTTTTTTTCCTTTTAAATAGTGGGTTTACATTTGCTCCTCTCCAGTCATACAGTACCTCTCCTGACTCTACAGTTTTATTTAAAATCTTTCCTACTCAGCCTACAATATCATGTGCCAGTTCTTAGTGCTGTGATGGGAATGATCCTGTTCAGCTGTCTTGAGCCCCTTGATTTATCTGAATCTTGCTTCTGTCACAAGAATGGCATTTTCTTCTTTGACATTTCCATTCAGACTGATCCTCCTGTCTTTGACCCCACACTTGATATCCTCTTTCCTCCTGAAAACTAAAGCAAGACATACGTTTATTCTCGGGCCATACCTATCTTTTATACCCAGCTTATCCTTTCTCCAGAGTGGCCCTACTTCTTCTATGATGACTTACTTATAAGATTGAAAAAACACGTGATGATTTCCTATTTTTTCATTTTTATTGATGTTGGAAAAAATAATTTTTAAGGTACCAGAAGTGAAATGTTACATTATAACTATTGCACTTGATTTGCCTTAGCGAAGTGGTGACCTTTCTATGACAGTCACTCCTCTGAAGCTTGCAGGATGAGCACATGATATTGCAAGGCAATGTTAATATTTAAATGCAACACCAATCTCAGAAAGGCTTTTCCATGCCATAACTGGCTCAGACGGCAGGATCCACAGATGGGGGATCGGTTAACAGTGATATGAAATTGAGAATAGCTTTCTTAATCTTTACTATGAGCCATATGCCTTGAAGTCAATAGAGTTATTTCAGTTTTATACCACCATACACTGCAATAGAGTCTGGCATCATTTTTCTCCCTCATAAATGGTGATGGTTGCTTTTTAAAAAATTCATACCTTCATCTTATTCATGGAGCAAATATCTTAAGCTGCCATTTAGCTTTGACATCCATGCTAATGCTCTTATATTTGGGGCTGGCTTTGTGCCATACGTTCATAGCATTTTGGCCTCCCCAGTGCACGCTGAATTTTACCCCCTTTTTCATCCGGAAATGCCTTCTCTTCTGTCTTAGTGGTGATTACTATGCACTGTTCAAGATCCTTATCTACTTTAGTGGGAAAAAGTGAATGGGAGGACACAATCCTTTTCCTCATGGCCACACTGCTTACAGATCTAAGATGAGGGGCTCTCCTGGAGCCAGTGATGCTTTATCGGTGATGTCCGTGCTGCAGCCCGAGGTCTGACAAACTACTGCTCTCCTGGAGCTCAGCAGCAGTGAGCTCATCTTGGACTGCAAAGCCTGCCTCTGACACTACAGCAGTAACCGGACAGTAAATGAACTCAGAACTGTTAGTGGTACCTAAGCTAGGCAGGCATGCTTAGATGTGAGGAAGATAACCAGACTACCAAGTACCAGGAGAACAAAACATGCATCCAGTTCCTCCCTCTATAAAAAGCATTCATGAACAGAGTATTAATGCTACATTTTACTACATTTGCATAAACATCCAAACATTGTTAAATTGCAACAAAACTACTTACAAAAACTTTCACTGTGGAAAAGTCAATCTTGTCTGTTCCTTCCCTTTTGAATTTGCACAGTATGGTGCTACGGTCTGGTTTTTTGGTAATATTTTGGACGCTGAACCATATCTTTTCCGTCTGTGAACCATTCATATATGACAGATAAACCTCTACCTCAGTTTTAGAAATATTCAACTTGTCATTTTCTTTCTAGAGGGAAAAAATTGAAGATCATAAACAGTCACTAAATACAGTAAGAAGTAAAATGATCCCCAAATACTATTTTAAATAAGGAATTAGAGTTTATTACTTTCAAACTTACATATATTTTTAATTCCAGATCAGGATCCAGCTCAGTGTGCAGCTGGTAGTTAATGAACACTGGGTCAGGGTGATAGTGTAATTTGACACATGGTATAAAGGTAGTTTCCACTTTTAACATCATATCAACAACTCTACCCTCTGTTGCATGGCTCAGGCTTGGCGTTAAGTAATGATATTCAGATTCATTTCCAGGACGCCTAGAGACCTAGAAATGCAATAGCAAAGCTATAACAGTCAGTCATTAAGCACTCAACAGTGGGTACAATTACAAACAGAAGCACTCAAAATCATTTTAATGTCTTCCTGACACACAGAGATATCTGCCAAACCTCGTCTCTGCGATCAGGGCTGCATGCAGAGCACCTGGGAAAGTTTTAGGTGTTGAGCTTGTGCCTACCTTTAAGCATATTTATCACACACTCTGCATGCTGCTTTAAGGCAGATTGCAGACTGCTAATGTAGCTATTTCCTGCAGTGAGACAGGAATAGTGACAGTGATTTCTCCTTCCTTCCTCTCAAAGCAGGTGACAAGAGAAGAACAGGACAAGCTCTCCAGCACCCCTGGGCATTGGCTCTCCCCAGCTTAGAGGGGAGTTGCTGCAGTCACCCATTGATTATGCCACGGGGTGCTGCTGCTGTTTTCTGGTTTCTGTGCTGCAAGCCCAGGAGGCAACAGGGTGCCCACCTACTCACAGCCTCGGGGGAAGGGTTTCGTCCCAAAATCAGCTCCAGTCTCCTGCCCCTTGCTGAGGCAGTGGCACCATGTGGGTTCTCAACACAAAGCCAGAGAGAAGTACACCACCCCCTCCTCCAACTGACCCATATATGGAGGCTGCGGAGGCTCAAAAAGGATGAATTTGGAGCAAGTCTCTAGACTATAGAAAAAAGGCTCACGGAATTATGCAGGAGAGTAGCTTATGTGTATCCATAATCCTGTACTGAGAATGTGTGCAACTGTAATCCTACAAGTGGTTGTATTTCTTTCAGTAGGGTGACTGATGTGTGCTTGCAAGTGTTTGAAAAATACTGAGATTCTCCTGAAACCTTAGGAATAAAACCTAATCCCTTAAGACACCTCCATTTGATATTGTAAAGGAGATTAAGACTTACGGTGAAGTTTGATCTCTGGTCATCTGAAATAATCACACTGTCCACCACATTAAAATTTCTACCAATCGTAGTAATTCTGCGACCACCACTGTAAAAA